AAAAGAAAAAGAAAGGAAATTTGGATCTAGTAATTAGCCTCATATTTGAATTCTTCCACACAGATGTGTGATTTGATGGCATGATGCTATGACTTGAACATATGATTTCTCCAATAAAACAAGTAAATTTCTCCAATAACAAAAGTACATTTTAATATGTTCAGGTACACATTGTTCTGGATCATGCTGCTAATCAGCAAGCTGGCATTCAGCTACTTTGTTGAGGTGATTTCTCAATATCAGTTTTATATATCTACAGCTTAATTTAGAATCTTAAAGAATCTGATTTGTTGCCTCACCTATGTTTTGATTGGTGCCCAAGTCATAGAGACGCCAAAGGTACATGTGCATGCATACATGTAATGTAACATCCCTCTTTGATAAATTTTTAGTTTGTCAAGTAGAGAAATGTCCTGCACAAAATATTAATTCAAATGCTTTCTTGAAATAGGTAGGTTTAAAATTTTGTTTGTAGAAAAGTAACAGTATAACATTAGTGTAGCTACTGGAGAGAGATTTTAGAGTGTACAAGATAAAAGAGAAAAGAAAAGAAAAGAAAATATCTATAGGATCAAAAGGCTTGTTTTATATAATTCCCAAGCTCAAGATCAGTACAAAATAGATTGAAAATTACAGAGCCAGTCATGATTTTGCGCAGATATAGATTTGTCTTACTGACTACTTGGATGCACTGCTCATTGTTAACATAGGACATCCACCAAAAGTCTTAGGAAACAGAAGCAGCTACTCCTCACTGCTACTATCTGAAATGGTGGAATAAACTCCATGAGCTCACAGCCCAGTAAGCCTAATTCTTAATCGTAAGTTAAGTTGATAATCTTTACTTAGTTAATTATGAAGAAAAGAACTATTACTTTCTAACAATGCTGGTATTACTAATAATTTAGACAATTAGCCAAAAAACAATCACACAAAGCAGCACATTAAAAGAATTAACACTGACTATGCAGTCCACTAAATGTGCATGCACTCACATTAGGTGCCAAAGCTATTCATAGCACTACCTACCGTGCAGAGGTTGGTTCGTTGTTCTAACTCCCAAGCCTAAATTGGGGTCCAGACTCTCCATAGTTCTAAAGAAATTATACCACAGAAATATATACTATATAAAAACATGCTTTCCTTGTTCAACAATTAATTTAGTCTGTAGAACCACAAAGAAAACAGGCATAGCATGAAAATTTCAGAATTTAACTCATTAAAATGTAGTAAATCTTAGTTCCAGACCTTAGTAGTCTAGTTTAAATTTCATTGTTATTGTCCCCACAATTAATTTCACTAAGAAATTGGCTCCAATGGAGGTCATTCTAATTAAATCTACTTTCTTTACTTATTGTAGTCTCTAAGTTGTATAGCTTGAACTGCAGTATCATAATTTCTTTGTGTACTCTATCTATCTTATATTTATTCCTCTTTTTATGTTTGACAGCCTAAGCTTAAAGTTAAGAATCACACTTACCACACACACTTGTTCAAAATTCTGAGTTTGATACAGTTTCTTCAAGAATCTCCAAGTCTGCCCAGCATTTCTGCACCTTCTTTCTCCTTCCCTTTCAGTCCAGCTAGAAGGAAAAATGCAGAAAAATGACTAGTTCAGTTATAAGGCTCAAAAACTTGTGGTCAAGTGGGTTTTAACTGTTTCCCATTTAGCCAACTTCTCATCAAGACATCTGTCATTGACTCTAACAGGTTATAGTCAGCTTGAATTCACTAATCTCTGGACTGCAGTCTGTTAAAATAACATGTAATCCCATAATTAACAATTGCTACAGATTAGTCCCTAATTCTGGATGAAATGAAGGACTCTAACTTTAGACTCAATGCAATTAAGATCCTATTTTTTTAACTAATTGCAGGTAAGGACTAGAATATCACATGTAATAACCTTCACTTTGTATCCCTTAAGAGTTCAAGATATGGCTATAACTAGATTCAGAATTTAGGCATTCATGCATAGAAAACAGATTTAGTTGTTTAAATTGTTGGAAGGTTTTCAGACTAATGAAAAATAAATAGGTTAAAAAACTGTTAACTAACAAGACTTTTCTTGAAACATATAGAATACATAACTTAAATGATCAAGCAAGAACAGTCGATGGTGTGGTTTTCAGTAATACTGATAATGCAATAAGTCATTTATTATAATTAGTTAGGAGAATGAAATATAGTTGTCAAGTTCTACAAGAACAGTCCGTGGTACAGTTTTAGGTAATACCAATAATAGAACTTCAATAAACATTACTAGTTTGGCTATAAAGTTCAGAATGCTAAGTTTTACAAAACACATGTTACAGCAATATACATAAGTACCAGAAAAACACAAGCCAGAGTTTGTTTGGTAATTTGCATATTTATCTCACCCTAAAGCTGTAGCCAGAATGGTCAACTGACATAAAAGAGTCCTCTAGCTCTCAAAAATAAGCCAAACCCCCCTTTCGCCCCTTGGATATTTTTTCTTTCTGTGGTCAACACCCTCCATAATTCAAAAATTGCGAAAAACCTAAAAGCTTAATGATGAGTCACGTGCAGGTTAATTTTCATCGCCTGCTGCATTTTGTAGCCCAAGCAAGTTTACTTGGACATAATGTAGCCATTTTTTCTGATGTGGCAATTTTTTTGATGATGTGGCTGCCACATGTGCATGGGCCCCATCACTGGCAGGACTTTTCGTGCCTGTCCCCATGTTTGCAGCCAAACAAACCATACCTGTTTTGCTTTTTGAAATGGATTTCCAGCAGGCAAAACTTGGTATTTCCAGGAATTTTGAGAGACTTTGATCTCGCACCCATTTCCTTCTCCATTAGCTTTCTTGAATCCCAGTGGGCAAATGTAGGATGTATTGGAACTTAACCCATGTAACATTCCCTTTAGAGAAACCATAGGTCCATCAAGTAGGGAGATGTATTGCACAGCTAAGTAAAGAAAAATACAAAAGAAGTCTATAATATCAAAATATTCAATTTATATACTATTCCCAGGCTCAATACAGTACAGATAGGTTTAAAATTATAGAGCCAAATGAAAGTTTTGGGCAGATACAGATTTGCCTTACTGAAATTTGCAGCATAGCTTACAGTTAGCATAGGGCCTCCACCCACAAAAATTCTTAGGAATAACTGCTACTCTTCACTGCTGCTCTCTGAAATGGTGGGAATAACACCATGAGCTCACTGCCCAGTAAGTATAATTCTTAATCTCAGGTTAAGCTGCTAATTTAATCTTTAGTATCTTGTGCAGAAAAATTCCTTTAATTCTTAGCTGTATGAACATTGTAGAAAATTGAGGCATTGCAATCATAAATGATCACACAAACACAGCACATCATAATAGTGATAACACAAACTATGGAGTCTACTGAATGTGCATGCACTCACATTAGGTGCTAGAGCTAGTTATAGCACTTACCTCCTGCTCAAAGGTTCACTAGTTCACTGTTCTAACCCCCAAGCCTAGGCTGGGGTTCAAACTCTCCATAGTTCTAAGACAATTGCATAACAGCACCATATATAGCACATAATCATGCATAACAATGTTCAATGTTTACTTAATATGGTCTATAGAACTAATAGAAATTGGCTATAATGGAGTGTTCAGGTTAGATACACAGGACATAGTCCAAAAAAGGTGATACACATAACATATTAATCTCACAAATTGAACGGTAAAGATTTCTCAGTTTCAGCATAAGGGATTTCTAACTCAGCTCACTACTGTATTTATTTCTCTATTCTGTTATATAATTTAAACTGCAGCAGCCTAATTTCCTATGCATATTCTATTGCTTTATTTATTGTTTGGCAATCTTAACTTAAAATTAAGAATCACACTTACCTACACACTTTCTTCAAAAATCTTGAACTTGATAGAATTCTTCAATATTCTCCCAGTTTGCTTAACCTATCTGCACCGTCCTTCTCCTTCTCTTTTGGTCCAGCTATAGGCAAAATATATGAAAATAGCCAATTTAGTGATATGGTCCAAGAAGTCCTGGTCAAGTGGGTCTTAAATGCCCCCACTTGGCCTACTTCTCATCCAGCCACCTGTTATTATTTTTAACAGGTTGTTGACAGCTGGACTATATTAATTTCTCATAGACACTAAGACTGCAGTTTATTAAATTAACATGCAATCCCCTAATTAACAAATATTATATATTTGTCCCTAATTCTAGATGAGATGAAGGGCCCTAACTTAAACTTAATGCAATTAAGGACTTATTCTCTTTAACTTATTCCAAATAAGGACTGGGATATCACAACCCAATCGCTGATGCAGATAGCATTAGGCCTGCAGGTTCCATGGATTTTGCAATTTGCAAATTTCCTGCACTGCTTCCCAGACATCCCATTTCCCAGTCTTGGAATCCAAACTATAAATCCTTAAATTTATATCTTTGTCAAGCTTCAATCTTCTCAACAGGGATTCATCAAAATCTCCAGAAAACAGCTGATTCCCATTCATCATTTGAATCACCATACCATTGGTGTTGAGTTTCTGAAATCCATTATCAGTAGGATGATCAAAATTGTATTAGTAGGATCTCAAAACTCTCCCAGTAGGCGACATACACATGATTACCTTGGTTACCCAAAATCATGCTAGTAGAGTTAGAATTTCCAGTAGTTGCCATCAATGGCCAGACGTTGACCCAACTGAGTTTATCAAAACGAGGTTGCTAGTGTTTGTTATGATCAAAGAGGAATTTTGATCGGTTAACCGGAATTAACAGACCAAACTACAGTTTTCTTAGACACATTCAGGTGCCAAATTGAGAAAGTAAAGAAGTTTTGAGAAGTGGGTAATGAATGAAAACCAGGGGCAAAGACGCCATTAGAGGAGAGTAAGGTCTTATTTTGGGTGGGCTTCCATGGGGAGTTGAAGATGGAGAAGGATTGTTGTTGGGATGATGATGGTGACAAGTTTCAGAGGAGAGAAATGAAGACGAAGGGAATTAGAAATGGAAGAGACATGGTTTTAGCTTGACATAAGGTCTTGTATGGTGAATTTGTGGAATGGGGTGAGGGGATGTTGAGCTTGGTGGTCTTGTTTTTTTGGCCATAGCTTGGTAGAGGCCTTTAATTGTGGCCATTGAAGGATTTTTTCTGTGTCTTTAATGGGAGTAATATTATGTATTTTTTTATTTTCTTTTTTTGGCTGCAGACATGGGACATGTTGGGAAAAGTCCCACCAGTGGTGGGGCATTGCTCATGTGGTGGCCACATCATCAAAAAAGGTTGTCACATAAAAAAAAATGGTGACATAATGTCCAAGTCAACTTGCTTGTGCCATGCAATACAGTAGTTGATGAAAAGTAATGTGCACACCATGTGGACTTGACCTGTGGTTAATCTTTTGGATTTTTTGTGGTTTATGAATTATGGAGGGTGTTGATTAGAATAAAAATTAATGGAGGGTGTTGACTGCAGGAAGAAAAGATATTCAGGGAGCAAAAAGGGGGTTTAGCCTCAAAAATATACTTGAACTTAGCAGCTTTAGTGATCTGAAATGGTTAGAAAAACAACTGTGACCTTGAAAGCCTTATAAGTGTAAGTTATAGGTTGAGGCTACAATCTGAGCTTCAAACAGGTCCGTGTAGTCATCAGGCAGATTTTAGATTATTAATCTCAGGATTAGAGATATTTGGCTAAGCAATAAAATAACAGAACTAGAAAGATATTTAGTGTAATATAAATCTTCAACTTAACTTGGCCAAATGGTTAGCCAACAGAGTTAAATACAGGCAAGTTATAGCTAGCAATAGCAACAGTAAAGCCTCTTAGCTAAGCTAGAATTATTTTGAAGTCATCGGAGAATATTAGTATAACATAATTATAACAGTCATGCACATAGTGATAGGACATAAACATATCATGCAAATAACAGACAAGCTATGGAGTCAAAAAAATGGGAATGCGCTCACATATAGTGCTAGAGCTAGTCTCAGCGCTCCCAACTGTGCAGTGGTCATTAATTACCCCATATAGAAGCCAGAAATGTTCCAGAATGACCACAAAATGCTCAAACCCAAGCCTAGGCCAGAAAAACCTCCATTGCCTGAGAACAAGCAACATGCAGAGTTTATTAATCCATGCAGATAACCAACATACTTAACACATTCATATTGGTGTATTTCAGAACAGAGCAGCATCAAGCTGGCTTTGTCATGAGCATAAGGAGGTTAGAATATAGGTAATTATGCCTTAACAGAGTGATCACAAGTTCTTGAGGTCAGGCTTGAAATATAGTACAGATTTAGACCAAGCTAGATCACATAAGAACACAACAGAGACCATCTGTTGTATTAATAACAGTAATACACTTGGTCATACTTGAAACAGCATAGTTACATGCCATTAAGGCAGGAAAAATCATAACAGATTAGACATGATTGAAGATCAAAGCAGATTTTAGCTTAAATTTAACATGCATGTTCAAATTCTCCCTTTCCTATGGTCTTTATACTATTCATTTTCAGTTGAGTACCTTAATCTCCTTGCATGCTACTGTTTTGACTTAGATTATAGCTTACTAGACATAACAAACACTTCTGTCTCAAAAATATAAAAAGTTGGATTTGCAGAATGCTTGAGATTCTTTGAGCCTCATAGTTTTGTAGAACTTCCACACTCCCCTTTCCTTGGTCAAAATGAGAGAGCTGTGGGAAAATGCTAAGGCTTACATGCATAAAGCAAATATAAAGCCAACATAGATGAGTGGACTTTAATGCATGCAATTTAGCTCAAAATCTAACCGGGCCATCTGTCATTTACATGTTAATAGATGTGAATTCCACCATGAAAGTATTAGAGCAAGTTATCTATTTGACGTGAAAATTTGACAGTAGTATTAGAGCGAGTTATGCTCTTGGGAACTTCTTGTTGCTTAAGCCCCATGATTAGTTTTGAAGGTCATACCAGGGCTGCATGTGTCAACCCACATGACAAGTACTTAAGGATCATATTGGGCTTGAAATAGGGCCCAAAGTTCATACCAGGCCTGCACATAAGGAATGCGTAATCACATGCCAAGTTTCAAAGTTCATATCGAGCCTGGATGTGAGAAAGCCGTGCTAAATGGGAATTCCACATGAAACCTAAGAAACGTGTGATCTAAAAACAAGGAAAGCTATTCCACCTATTCCAATTAGTTTTAGGTTAAAACCTTGACATGTCAAATTTTTACATGGCATGAGAGCAAAGTTCTGCTCCCAGGAAGCTCATTAGTGTTTAGTGCTTGTGTTAGACTTGAAGGTCATACCAAGCCTGCGCATGAGGATGGTGTAATTAAATTCCTGTGATAGGGCTTGAAGTTCATATTTAGCCTGCACGTGAAGAGTGTGTGCTAAGTGGGAAAATCCGACATTGGATAAATAAAAGAAACACATGTAGCTTAAATACAAGATGGGCTACTTCACCTGTAGCCAACTAGTTTCAGGTTGGAATCTTGCTTTTGTCTTAGCTTATTGTTAGCCACCAAGCTTGCACCTCAGGGGGTGTGTGACTTGGTTTATTGGTTTTAGGTTGGAACTCTGCCTTGTGTTTTGCTTCAAATGTCAAATTCTTATAGTTCTTATATTTACTACCTTTGCATCACTATAATATATTTCCATTAGGGGAAACAAGGGGCTAAGTTTGAACCCTACATATATGGACTTCTCAATCAATCCAACCTGGGTTATATCACGTTCAATGGATTTATTCAATGTTGGATTGCACAGGGCCAGCTTGTTTTTTTTTTTTTTTTGATGATTGGTTGCACAACGGGAGGCAACCCTCCCCCTTCCCTTATCCCACCCCATCCGCATGCCATGCGACTCGAACTCAAGATCTCTTACTTCCAACGGAAAGAGATTACCACTGAGCTACTTAGGTCGTTGGCTGCACAGGCGCTTTGTTAGTTGTTTTACTCCATCATTCTGCAATTGTCTTACAATCTTTGCCTCCGAATGACAGTTTGGAAGAATGCTGCCATTTTGTCAATGTGGATACTTTGCGAATGAGCACTCAGATTTATGGAAAGCTAAGTTATGAGAAATGTAGTATTATGCTCCTAGTCTTCCTTAACAACCTTTGACAACTTTGTTCTATATCCTTCGTTTTAGCTGAAACTACATTTCTGGAATAGTGAAAAGATGGATCATCCTGGAGAAAGAATTTGTTATTTGTAGTTATTTTACAGTTTTCATCCAATTCTGGCATTTAATGCTGTTATGGTATTTGGTTTATTTATGCTTTCTTTAGTATGATTGTGGTTTTTTATTTTGGTTTTTACAAATTTTGCAATTCTAAACAATAAATAAATAAATAAATAAAAGGGTTTAATTTCACTTTTTTTGCTACATATTATGATGATTCTTAAAGAAATAAGAACAAAAATAGTTTTAATACAATAAACAAGTTCATATTTTTTGTTGTTTGTGTTAAAACTCATTTTAAACAAATTGTTAGTTTTTGATTTTTAGTTTTAGTTTTCAATAGATACAAAATTTATGAAAACCAAAACTAAAAACCAAAAAACCACAACCATACTAAAAGTAGCCTTAGTTTAGTAGATTCTGTTTCTATTTAAGTTTCATATTACCATCAAAATTCACTTAGGGTTAATGATGTCTTTATGTGAAATTTTTTCTAGATTACAATCTCTGCAATCTTTTAAAAAGTGTGACAAGTAAAATGGATCAGAGATAGTATGATTTTAGATTTGTTCTCCCTCTTCCCTGTTGGCAACAATAATTGATTATACTTTTTGTTAGTAATTGATTTACATAAAGCAGTATGTATTCTAATTACTTTTTCCATTTTGATGGGATAGTAGTATGTTTTCCTTGCAGCCTTTAAGACTCTTAATATCTCAGTGTCAATCTAAACCTGTATTTTTTTTACATGCTCTGTCAATAGATTTTGCCACTAATACAGCCAACAAAGATTATTCTGGACTTGCATGTGGATAACTACCAGTGGCATGAATTCTTTCCAAATGGTATAACATTTCTCAACCTTCTTCCTGTCTCTCTCCCCCCAATCAAAGAAAGAAAAGCCTTCTTGTTAGCACTCTTGTTAGCACTTTCTTGGGAGGGCTACAGCACATACTAAGTTAATTTGTCAAACTTCTGCAGTGACCCATAACATTGGAGTTGTTATTGCAATTTGGGCTCCTATTGTCCTAGTAAGTTGCATTGTAGAAAACTTATGGGAAAGAAAAGAGTTATGCTATTGTGGAGAGTATAGATTATTAGACTCTTGAACTATGATTTCTGGGAGATATAATGTCTTGTTTACATATAGGTTTATTTCATGGATACTCAAATATGGTATGCCATATTCTCTACTCTTTTTGGAGGGGTTCAGGGAGCCTTCAGCCATTTGGGTGAGGTTAGTGCCATATTTCTCAAACCTTGGAAATAGAAGTTAAAAAGAAAAGTAATAATGTGACAAAATCTTGTACAATTATGATGAAAGAAAATAATGCATCTTTTTCACTTTACAATATCTGTTAATTGTGACATGCTTACTAAATTTTATTTTGCTATCTTACCATTGGTTTTCACAGATACGGACACTTGGGATGTTGCGGTCTCGATTTGAATCTGTGCCCAGAGCTTTCAGTCGAACTCTTGATCCATTATCAAATCAGTATGCCGAAACAAAACATCATGTAGAGCATAATGCCGAAACAAAACATCATGTAGAGCCAATTACTATTGTTTTTATATTAGTTCTTATTGGCTGGAATAGCTTTAACATTCTAACTTGGATTGTGTTCTTTTTGAACTATGTTTGGTGATCCTGTTCAATATTTATAAGTGCATATGCAGCCTTCTCTTCTTTGCCTAAAAATGGGTGTTATACACTGGCAGGATGAGTCAGAAGAAAGGAAGAATATTGCGAAGTTTTCTCAAGTATGGAATGAGTTCATATATTCTATGCGAACAGAGGATCTGATAAGCAATAGGTAAGGATACTTCTTGCTAAATTATTCATTTTATATGAAGTGCATCACTTACAAGTTTATTATATTCTCTTGATTTTTTTTGTCCAGGGATAGAGATTTGCTGCTTGTGCCATATTCTTCAGGTGATGTCTCTGTTGTCCAGTGGCCACCCTTCTTGCTTGCAAGCAAGGTAAATTTTTTAGTAGTTTGTGTGTTATTTGTTGCTCAATGTCAATCCTGTGACTTGCATATCATCTGGTTTGTAACATATGGCAGATTCCTATTGCGCTAGACATGGCAAAAGATTTTAAAAGGAAGGATGATGAAGAGTTATTTAGGAAGATAAAGGCCGATGATTATATGTATTCAGCAGTAATTGAGTGTTATGAGACCATCAGGCATATAATAATTGGCCTTCTGGAAGATGAAGCAGATAGGAGGTAAGACAAGCATCTTTTACTGCTTTGAACTTTCACTTTGGTCATAAATGCATTTGGGAATGTAAAACACTGCTTTTTTTTTTTCTTTCTCTTTTTTTTTTTTTTTTTTTTTTTTTTTTTTTTTTTT